TTAGGTTGTAAAGAACTGAATTGCGTTTTCCCACATACGTGGCGTTTTCTCACCTACGTCTGCACGCAGGAGAGACCGGACCCACTATGCCCCCCCCCCCCCCACCATCGAAAGGTTCCTCATGACTCCCGGGGGCCCCCAGGGAACCTGGGGGGCCCTATACACTGTGGGGAGCGCCTTTGAAAGCAGGTGGCCCCCTACTGGGCGAAATCCGGGGTACGTGCCTGAATACTTCCTTTTCAGTCGATATCTCTTTGAATATAGCAGATATTGCCACCAAATTTTCAGGACCCCTCCGGGCTCCGGGCATCAATTGTACACCTTGTGAAAAAAATGGACGCCAGAGTGACGTCATGTTCTGCTATTTTCGACCAAAAAGAAGGTTTTGCGGGAAGAGCTGTCACGCCTACAGCTTGGATGATGGGGAAAAATGGTTTTGGTATGCCAAAATTAGCCAGTTGAGTCCCGTACCAAGAAATATCCTGCAGTGAGCCAGTTGGCCATGACGGCGGTGAGTGCCGAGTGGAGCCCAGCCCCTGGAGGTGATGCCTAGTGAATCGAACGAACTACCGATTCTTCTAACCGCTGCCAGGTGGCACTCCCTGTCTCCGGTCCGCCCTAGTCTGTGCTTTCTAACGCAGAGACCTGAAGCTTCATAATTCATTAACCCGGCAGGCGGTGGGCCTCCCGGCCACCTTCCGCGCGTTGGGGGGGGGGCAGTTTTTTGCCCCCCCCCCCCCGTATCTCCGAAACTACTGGACGGATCCGGAAAATTCAAACGGCGTTCGATAGCCCTGTCAAATTTGTCGACGAAAACCAAATTTAATTAACCTAGGGGTCACCGATGACGTCACAGGTCAAGTCAAAGATAAAATGTTTCACCGTTCACGGGTCTTCTAGGAAAAGCGCTATAACACCGAGTAAAACGCATTTTGTCGAAAATCAGCGATAGGGCGTCAGGGCGGACGGTGGCCGGTATTCCGGATCGGCCACAGCTGTCCGTCTCTGTCTCTCGGTCCCTGCTCCCCTCGGCCTTCCCCGCCAGTCGGGAGTGGGGGTGGCATTCAGAGCTGCCCTCACCTTTCGCTGGGCGGTCGGCACCTTGTGTGCACCTACCCACCGACCATTACCTGTGTAGTGCCCTACCTACCCACCGACCATTGCCTGTGATCACGTGCCGCCATCGCCAAATACAGCCACTCAAACGTATTTTATCTCTTCGGTCCTTAATTCATTTTTATGCGCCTGATTCTCCACTATTAAACCACCACTTTTAACAACGGGATAATCGATCACCAACTAACCCCAATTGACAGATGGTGGAAGCTAGAGCTAACAAGTAACTATATATGGTGTTCGCTGTCGGCGTAAGCTAAAGTATTTCCAATTTACATTACCAATGAAACTGACTGCAATTTTGCGGTGCGCCTTCTAATATTGTAGAATTTGTTTCCACTTTTGTCTTCTCTGAGTGTCCTTGTTTTTACGGAACTCGGGCGTTTAACGTCTCATTCATAAACTTCGACGGCAATTGAACTGTGAAGTCTCAACTTCTGTGTCGAATTCGTAATTAATCGTTTTTCCATTCGACATTTCCTACCTCTTAACCATACTGACTGCTCCCCGTTTCACAAACAGAATAATTAAACTCACAACAAACAAGCCAACAACACACGATTAGGAGCTCGCGCAGAATTGTTAACACGGTACGGGAAGTAAACATGTGCGCCGGACATCTTCCCCGCAACTTGTCTGCATCTCAGCCATGAGACACATGGGGCAATGATCATAAAAAAGCTTCTGATTTAAGCCGCATTAAGTGTTTTGGGCAATGAGCAGCGAGCGCAATGGTTGATGGGGAATTGTGCACGTGCGCACATGGACGTGCAAAATTTAGACCCCAAAATGACCTGTGTGTTTTTCAGGTCACGCCAACTCAAAAATGTTATTTTACCCTGAATTGATTCGCTAGTATATCGGCCGCAGCCATCCGTCAGTGGGCGTTGTATTGTATGTAAGCACTTGCGATAGAGTACAGATGAAATTGTTTTTAGCTAGTTAAGCTGATAAAGGTAAGTGTTCAATATCTTTTTCCGAGCCAATGTGTGTAATTTTATATCTAGATATGAAATCATAAATACATGCGTCACCCAGAGGTAACTGACTGCGAGTTATGATTATTTCTTTTTATATAGTTATGAGAGGGACACACTAATCATTGCTGTTGATTGTCCATCAGTTCTTTAAATGAGGGATTGACTTTAATCTTTCGAGACGAAATGAGCCTGAGGGGACCTTTGGTTATTTTGTGGGTCTCCATCATTTATCTGTCCTGCCACCAGACACTTTGGTGGACAAAATGCCGGTCTTCTGCTTAGTTTCTCTTGGCTATACTGCTTGAAAAAAAAAATCGCTATAATCATTCGTTATAGAGCGGAAGTAAAGTGTAATGTGTTTTATTTTCAAACTATATCGTTATTATTGCTGAAGAACAAACGTTCTTGATGAAATACTTGCTATATCTGATCAGCTCTGTTATCCATCTCGGCCACCGTCTTCCAGTGTTGGTCCGTCAGTCCGGCCAGCCCTCGGGGATATTCATAGCAAACACTCGGGATTCAGCCTCGCACAATATGGCAAATCGCTCATAAAGTATTTATTACCACAAGATCCTTCCGGTTACCATCCAGTCGAGTCTGTAGAACATTTATTATTCGATGCGAGTAATTGATCCAAAGTCGTCGCGACGTATGTGATATGATTTATTTGGCGATTCTATTTTCCAGCGCCGTTCATGGCTGACACGTAACATTCACGTCTGGCCCAGAGCAGCTGCAGTGGCAGTTCCATCGCTAGCCACGGAGACAGTTCCATCGCTAGCCACGGAGACAGTTCCATTGCTACCCACGGAGACATGTCCAACGCTAACCACAGTGACTGTCCCAACCACGGTGACAGTGCCAACTCACAGGTGATAGTTCAGCCCCATTCAGATTAACGGTCACGTAAGGTCACGGTTAGTTTGTAAACTGACGACCTCCGGCACCCTACCACGCTGATAGGTAAGAGCCATCTCACGGCAACAAGCTGCTGACACGTCCTGCGATTCAGAACCATCTAAACGACAATGGGAGCAGGCAAGAGCCATCAATGGTGGAATTTCAGAGTTGTCAAATGTGACAGATCAGCGCCATTCCATGTGACGTTTTAGATCTATCCTAAATTAACAGTTTATAGCTATCCCACACCGTATAGGAAACAGTACAGAGTCACACGACAGTTTACAGCTGCCTCCGTCAACAGTACGGAAACCTTTCATTGTGACAGATCAAGCTCCAGAGCCATCACGAAGTTAAAGCTGAAAGCTGCCCACGACAATTAATTGCAGTTTGTTCTCAGTTGATTGCCACCTAGTGAATTGGCTTCCAACCCATTTAGGAACAGTATCAATAAATCAGTCAAATGCAAGAGAACTAACGTGCGCGCAAAAAAAAAAAATATTGAAGAAAACCAGGGCCTCGTCTAACATGTTAACTGGGGGGGCAATTGCCTCCCCAGTCGAGCGGATTGCCCCCCCCCCCCCAGTGGCCAACATTTGCCCCCCCCCCCAGTCAAAACGTGAACTTCTCACAAAATTACCTTCCCTGCAATACGTTTTCGTTAGGAGTCTTACATGGATTTAACGAGAAACATTATTTGTTCAAAACTGTTCATACTCCATGACTACGGGAAAAGTCAGAGTTTTGTGATCTATAGAGCTGAGTACCTACTGTGATTCCGTGATTTTGCTACTGTGATTCAAGTAGCAAATTGTCAATTGGCAGCTGACCAGTGACCCACCCAACTCGTGTTTGCGCCCCACCCCCCACTCAATCAAACGCCCAACATGGATAAGTATGCTTATCACTGTCTGGTGGGGCAATGTGAGGGGGTAACACATTAATCTTAACTCTCGCCCGTATTGGTGTTTTTCCAGCCGCGAACAGGGAGGGGGGGGGGGGGCGTTGGACCTTGCCCCTTGCCGTTTCGCCCCTGATCGAGCTAGAGCTTCGCGGAGAAAACCACCGTGCTGCCCGTCACGAGAGGAAGCCGGTGATACCTCATTTTAGGGTCCTAAGTCATCGGTTGACCTTCCAGGTCAGGTCAATGACCCAAAAGTCGGGAAACTCGCGGGACTTATTACAACGTCGTAAAGGGTGGCTGTTATTTTTTGTCGGGGTGCTGATCACGAATATCATGTTAGTTATGATCATAGATAATGTCTTCATGCATTTAGGCCAGGTCGGGTCAGGTCAGGACAGGTCAACCAGTAAGGGTTTTGCCGGGTATTCGTAGTAGGTGGAAACCGCCTCTGGCTCTGACAGCTTCAAAACATGTTACGAAGGCACCAAAACTACTTCGTAAATGTTCAAATGGTTGCTAAATTCGAATTCAGCTCCAAAAACTGGCCTAGAATCATGTAAAACTCGAAAAAGTGAACCGAAGTCATCAAAGGTCAATGACCTGACCAGACCTCCCGGTGACCTTGACGCCCACCCTAATGCATGGGAGCAATATCATATTCCATGTTTGAACGCTTGAAACCACGAAAAGACTGCAAACGCGCGGCTAATGCGAGCCGACATACGCCAAATCGCGATTCCGGCCAAATATGGTCTCGAAAAGTAGGTCACAGGTCAAAGGTCATTACGGTCAGGGTCATGACATTTTCAGAGTAAGTGTAAAATTGACTAACGCGAGGGTACTGAAAGTTTCGTCGCGGTCAGCCGCTTTTACGTGAGCTATTCTTGAAAAACCAAGGGGGTCCGTTCGACCCTCCCCCCTATACGAGCATGGCTCGGATTGCCCTTTTTTGTTTTTTGTTTAAAAAAATCATGGTCTTAGGTGTGACGAAAAATAAGTGGCCTAAATTCGTTGAGAAAACAAGATTTGGGGGTACCCTAGGTTTGGGTCCTTCAGTCTCTGCCCCCCCCCCCCCCCCAGTGAAAATCCCTTAGACGAGGCCCTGAAGAAAACAGTTCAAAGAGCTATTCAAATCCCCAAGATAACCAGTAAGTTATTTATAAAAATAAGCATCAATTTGAAATGGTTCATAGAATACGGATCATAGTAATCTAGCCATATCTCAACTTCTTTCGGAGAGAGAGCTATGCGTTGAACCGCTCCGACATGACAGCTAGCCGTGCGAGTCGTTCCAGTATTGCAGCCAGATGGCGTTGAGGTGGCCGTCCCGTCGGGCGCCTACCGCATCGTACTGAACTGGTGCTCCGGACCGGAGAGCCGCTCGCTGACCAGCCCCTGGGCCGACAGCGTCTCGTCCTCGGCGTGCCGTTTGGCGCGTGGCTCGTCCAGTTCGTCCGCCGAGCGATCGGAGGCCAGTCTCGGCCCGGTGAGCTCCTGAGAGACGGCTGACGGCTCGACGGACGGCCCGCCGCCCACCTCCCGTTTCATCGTGTCAAAGTGGCCCATGCCGCCTCTGAAAACGTCGTCATAAAACCCGCTCGCTGACATTTCGGGCCTACGCTTCATGGGTTCAAAGTGTCCCATATCTCCTCTGAAGATATCGTCATAAAATCCGCTTGCCGACATCTCGGGTCTGCGCTTCATTGGCTCGAAGAGTCCCATGCCTCCCCTGAAAACGTCATCGTAGAATCCGCTGGCGGTCATCTCCGGTCGCCTCTTCGCCGTCTCGAATCCCTCACCAACGGAACCTTCATTAAATCTTCCGCCAGTCGCCTTGTGCATCCTGCCGCCTGCGTGAAATCCTCTCTTCACCGGGGAGAACGCGCCGAAGCCCTGGTTGAAGACGTCGCCGTAGAAGCCACTGGCTCCGAGCCCGTTGGGAGCACGCTTCCAGTTGAGGTCCTCGGAGGCGCCGGGGGCCGACCAGGCCGAGTGTTCGGCTCTCTTGTGTCCCAGCAGACGGCGGAACGCGTGTGGAGGTCGCATGGCGTACGGCGAGTGGGAGTCCAGATCTGTGGGACAAAGAGAGAGAGCGGTCAGTACGGCAGTGTGGGCGGCAGGGCGGCTAGACAGGCGCCGGGTTAATTCTGATGTGATTAGATGCCCGGTCAGTGATGGGATGAGTTAGACCGTAGACGCTCATGCACGGAAAAAAGTGCCACTTGTTACAGCACGCCATGCTGCACCGCTGACTCATCTTCATATCAATTGAGAAATTTATTATGCTTGGCATTATTACAGGCAATTGTAGAGGCAGTCCACTCTACAGCGTTTATTTCTGTCACTCGTAGCCTGCTTTTCTTGCAGTTCGATATCCCTTTATTGTTTTGTCTGGCATCTGACACGCTCCACCATTTTATTGGAAAATGGCCTAAAATGATACCTTTTCGGTGAGTCAGCATATATTTGAAGCCCTCCGACATAGTCATTTGATCTAAGAATGCGCCCACATTTGAATCATTCTACTTCGAAAGCTATTCTTGCAAAGGCAATGGATGGATCATGAAATTGACTGTAGTTTGACATAAAATTTCCATTCCTTGCTCTATTGACGCCACAAGAAAACTTCGAAACTGGCGTTTCTACACTAAACAGGACAGAGGATGGCTACCATCCCCTGTCCCTCCCGCCCCCTCACCTGCCCACACCCACACTCGACCTGCGCGCCCCCAATCTCAGTATACCGGCGACCTCAGGTGTAGCACGTGACTGATCAGCCGACAGCCAGCGGGCTATGAGAGGGCGGGGCTGATCGGTGCGGCCGATCAATCGAACGACGATCGTGACGCATAACATCGCATCAGCCGTAAATGGAACATTATTCACAGGGGGCCCAAACAATGCCAGCAAACAATCTGCGCTGCCGGCTAACCTTCGGGAGGGCTGACCCATCATCAATTCTGCTCTTGGCCCGAAGGCGCTCCATGAAGGCTGTGGTATGGGATAAATATAGCAATATTTTATTGTTTTATATTACATGAGTGATTTGTAGCCTTCTCGATGTGCAAAGCCTACATATTAGACTGGATTCATAAGGCATGACTGAAATAAGCATTGACAGAAAAAAAAACTTTTTTTTTGTCCTGGTAGTTTGTGCGCAGCATAAATCGAGGACAGCACACATTCATCCCCAGCCTTCAAGTTCACCCTGAATCGTAACGGTTTTATTACTGTTTGCCCTGTAAGTGGGCATTGATCCACTTTATCATGACGACGAATGATGCCAAACCTCCTCGGATACAGAAGCAGGCCCTGATTGCATCGCAAACATTTGGGTGTTTGTCTTTTCTTGTACATATTCATATACATCTGTGCTATCAGAGGCATATTGGAAAGAATGGGAACTAATAATGTATGACTGAAGGGAAGCGTTATTATCGTGTTTGATATCACAGCACATTAGACAGCAAAACAATTATTAGTGCTTGATTGAGCATAGCTCATTGTGCACTGGATCGTGCCACAAATTGCAAAGATTGTTAACCTTCTGCAATCAATTCAGCATCAGAAGTGTATCCAAAATGTACACATTCTTCAGTTCATCGCGCATGTTTGTGATAAAACATGCATTGGCATTCGTATGCCTGGAAGAACGCTTAATAGGGAGAGAAGGAGGAGGCATTTGTGAGCGACACAAATGCCTCCTCTCACTCACAAAAGTGAGTGGTTGGTTGGAATAAAATCGGGCCCTGCAACCTTGTGCGCACTGCATGCACGCAAATTCCTCAGGCCCCTCCCCAAGGTAGTTTATGTTTACCTAACAGGCGGCAGATTCAGTATGTGACTGGGCATTTCAAATTGATGGCCTCGTTTGAAGCCCGTTTCTGTAATCAGCGTGCTGATCGCCGCCTGAATGCCGAATTTGCCGCCATTCTGCCGCCGCGGCCCACGCCGCCGGCCTAACACAGTTGAGCGGCCTTCAATCGGAGGAGCGCCGCAGCGGCTCTTCGGCTCCCCTCGACGCGACGGTCCGCCACACCTCGATGGGAAGAGTAAACCGTACAGTACGGCAGTCAAAGTGTCAGCAAAATGGAACAGTATAACTTGTGGGCCTTTCTGCTTGGACTCAGGACTATTTGAACTATTGCCGATATTTTTGTCACAATTTTTGCGAAAAGTAGAAGTTTAGCGCTACATATTATTTGATTATACTTTATGAACGGATAAACAATAAACGGCGTATGCATTCTGATCTTCAACTACCTGGCGGCGCAGTTTCTACCGTGCAGCTAGCACTTGGAATAGCCACATGTGACTCAGTTTCATGTGATACATTGGTAGCGTACGGAGTCGACATTTTATGATGTAATAGGTATGATCTATTTTAACTATTTTATTGCAGCATTGTGGTGTACTTTTGCATATTATGTAACTGACGTGGGTACCAGAAAATCCATCTTATGGAGGATCCGAATAAACTATCTGTATCTGTATCTGTATCTGTTCTCTCTATCTACCTTTATTGGTCCCCTTGGGCTGTATTTGCGTTTCTGACAGTCGAGCAAAGCCTCGTTCGTTAACCACGACATATGACCGCGATCACGGGGTCACTATAGGGATGCCCTTCAAGGTGCTATTTTAGAAAACAGAAGGTGAATTTGTGCAGGGCTGGTATGTAACTACGTCGGATCTACGTCTCACCTCTGAGTGGCAGCACGAGCGCCAGGACTGCGCCCGACTGCAGACAGAACAGGATCCACACCAGACTGGACGGCATCATCTGCGGTAGGACAGGGCTCACTATCACTTCAATAACATGCTGAAGGTCCATTCAAAGCCGCAGAGATAGTCAGTAGGTTAAACGTCAGACAGCAGAGTACAAGCTTCTGGACAACTTATTGTATCAAAACTGGTAACAATGGTCAAACTGTTTGTCTCAAACGACATTTCAGTGACTTTACACCGGGGCGTGATCGGCCCGAGCTTCGAAACTACATACGTTAAGATTTGACAGGCATCAGATTATCAGATTATTGGTGGGTAGTCTAGCCTTGTTTTGAACATTCTCAGAGCTGAAATAGACATGTGCATAATTCGATATAAAGCTCTTAGAAATAATGATTTAGCATATAGTGGTAGGTTTTTTCATCTTAAAGTCAAATCGGGTATTCTTTTTCTTTTTAATGGATGACTCGAACATGTGTTAATTCATTTTGATAGTATTTTGGTGCCAGCCAGATGATCATGTGGCTTTGGCTAGTCACACATTTAGAACACTAACAACTCTGGGGAATGGTGCATTGCCTTGGTTATCAAGCATCCACAAAGCAAATTGCCCCTTCTGTATGTCAGGGTCCAGGAACTGGCGAGTATTCCTCATCGTAAAATGAGGGATGCTTAACAATTCATTGTCTTATTTCCGCCATGCATATGAAATTCGGTCCATGTTTTATGCGTCCTGTAAGCATAAACAAGGCACGACAATCAGTATGATGATACTCGCAACCATCAACAGATGTATTGCACGTGCATTTAGCACAGTGAAGTACACACTATACGTGACTACAAGGACAAACTGGAAACGCTGATATTGTGCAAACGACATCATCAGCACTTATGAACTACCGCCCCATTTAAAACGACGGATGGTCCCCCAGCAAAGCATGGCCAGTAAATTCAGAAGTAACTGTGTGTCCGGCATTCCATTAAATAAACCGTTTAATATCGGTCATCCTCCAGCCGCAGCTGACGGATCGTTCCCTGACGGTCGTTCGCTCCGTCTCACTGTGCAAGGAATACAGTGCAGAGGTCACACAAAAGAAGGTCACCGGTGCCCATTATGCCTGTGGCGTTGCCGCGCGCGGGGGCCGGCATCCGCGAGCCTGTGTGCCTAGGCGGACGGTACGCGTAACGACCCGCAGGATCCAGCTCATCACGGCGGCTCGCCAGCATTACCGAGAGCATTTTTCCGCCCGCGTAATGGATCGGATGGTTTGCTGTAATGCCGGAGCGGACAACCCCATGGCAGGGCCTCTCTGCAGACGGGTTAGCAGCCTAATGTCGCTTAATGGGATGTCCTGTCCTCGGGCAGGCTAAGGTCGATGTCTGCAGGGCCATTTCCTGCACTTACAGGCGAAATTCGAACCAGCTGTGTCTACTTGCTAGAAAATGGCATTCCCGGTAGGTTGACAGTATCAGTGGCCCACTTGGATTAAGTAGTGAAGTGTTTTAAGATCTCTAACAATGTGCTGAGACAATTAAGTTAAGGCTGGAGGTCTCTCCGAGAATGGCACAGGCCTTCAGGCACAGTTGGAGTAATGACCCGTTATCTGTTTGAATAAAACTTTGATAGTCTTACTGTTTGACGAGGTAGTTCGTGCGCCATTCTTGAGTCTTAACTTTCCGTAAGCTTTGTTAGTGGCTTGTTCTCATTGTTATGATGGGCTTATTCCGCACATGCAATGAAACGCCATCCGTTCTACTAACGGTCTCGTAAATTTTTGCAACTGAATACCTTGTTCTTCCCACCGAAACGCTCTTTACGAGAATGGGTCGTCATCAGCAGCCTCTTATTTCGACATGAGTAGGAGCAAAGCTATCTTTTCCAATCAGTTACTAAGTGCTGCTCTTTTGCCTCATGACAGGCTGTGGCAGGTTCCTGGGTTCCATCGGCTGGTCAATGACCTCGTTCTGATCTGGTTCGAAATTCCTTCTCTTAAGGACACTTGAGCCAACATGTCAACGCCCACAAATGCTGGACTCTGCTCCTGCTTCCTAACAACCCAAGTGCTAACGAGAAATGGTGCAACGTATACCTATAAGGTACAACTTATACTCGAACCCGATGAGTTGAAATGATATTCAGCGCTTCGATGTATTTCCCAGTCATCTTTACTCCAACGGCATTGACGTTAGGGACTTGAGGCTGGAAAGCACCAGAAGTGCTTGCATAGTGGGCCGCCATCCTAACCTTTCGGCCACTTTATCCGGTCAGCGGCTAGTTTGGTCGATCGACCCGATACGTGGTGGACTGTTTTCCCTGGAGAGCTCGCCTGCTTTATTCACTTCTCTCTTAGCTCCCATGGGGAAGCAATAGTTCAAAGGGAAAGGAGTTAGCTATTGGCGCAGAAAAGTGCGTGACTGATTTATATACCAGCGTAGGTTGTTTTTAGTGAATCTGAGCTGTTGATAGATTACATAGTGCATCAGACCAGGCAGCATAATCCATAGAATACTCGAGCGCGATGTTTGTACAGTGATTTAAAATTCACCTATACAATGTTTTACATGTGTGTGTTTTTTTTTTAAGGCATTCAGAAACCAAATCTAGTTAGTTTAACCCACGAGCCGCTGGGGGGGGGGGGCATAAAGTTGCCCCCCCTTTACGTTTTGTGAAATATCTCCGAAACCTGATGAGCTACGAACGTGAAACTTGGCATATCTTCAAATGAATACCTAGGCAATGTTTGAGAAAAGTTTGGTGGTTGTAGCACCAAAGATGACGTCACAGTGACGTCATAAAGTTTTGCCGTTTTCCGATATGGACCGTTTCTGACGACGCTGAGCATGAAACTCAACTGTAAATGAACTAGACAGCACCTGCTGTCATCCTAAAACATCTAACTACACTTCCATCTAGCTTCTGACCAATTATCGGTCCTTTATATTCGGTCCCATATATCTGATGTATCGTGAGGAATATGAGAGCCGCAAATCTATAATTTCACATATGACGTCACTGTGACGTCAATTCATATTGGATCAACACCAAATTTGGATACAACCTAGGCTAGGTATTCAGGAAGATGTGTGCAAAGTTTCGCTTCTCTATCTCTTCGCGTTGCGACGATATCGTCGCAGAAGTAAAGGGGGGCAACTATATGCCCCCCCCCCCCCCCAGCGGCCGGCGGGTGGCGCGGAGGCCCAGCGCGGCCGCCGGGTGCCAGTTAGGTACCAGTGTTTGCCAGTTGGAACGAAATTGCAATGCATGAAGCTCATTAATTCGTGTCTTGCGCCAAGTGTAAAGTGTAAGTGGAAAGTACGCCAAGTGTAAATAAAGTGTGGGAAAAAAGTATCATGCTATTCCATTGTTTTCATGAGACATTAGATAGCGTAACTCTTCATCTGTTTTGTAGAAGCACAAGTACCTTTCAAATGACTTTTCAATGCATCTTCAATACTAAAGAAAATAAGACTCGTATACGGTATACCACTAACCCATCACTTCTCACAGATCGTGAAGAACCACCTATAAAAGGACATGAAGCTTATTCCACCCACCAGACCTAAATGGAGTCTTTTATGCCCTTCCATTACGTCTCCATTCCTCTCCATTTACCGCAGTGCCTTCATATCTCTCCATTTACAACAATGTCTCCAGAGATGATCGGGTTACGCCGGGACGAAGACCAAATGCCTAAACCATTATCTGGCATTGATGGACATATATTATATTACCTACACGAGTTCCCTCTTATGACAATGCTTTCATGTGAAGGTGAATGGACGATGGCGCGTTCACGCAGCTCTTTATAGATGGCGAGATAAATGGCTCTCGAATGAATGCATTAATGCCCCGTGCAGGTAGATGTACGCATGAATACAGGTCGATAATTCTTAGATAGTCATGCGAGCAAAATGAAATATGCTCATGAAATTTCAAAATGAGGCCGCAGTGGGTAATTGCAAGCAGTTTTCTGCAGTCTCATCTCTAAGCATAAAGGAGTGTAGGGCTCTGCTTATTTATTTCCTTTTCTTTCGACGGGAAAAGGCTTCTATCTTCTATGAAATAGTTTGCTTATTCAAACCATACGGAACGACTTTTAACTTCGAGGATGCACTTATGCCAAAATCGGGCTATTAATCCACCCTTTCTGTAAAAAGACTGCTTCTTTAAAGGAAATATACCACATTTATAACATGGGGTTTTGGACTGAAATAGCAGTTTTGTAACTTGAGCGGAGACCATCACAAATTAGGAGCTTTTACGGCCCAACCCAAGGCAACGAAATTCCAGTTCTCGTTCCGAAATCATTCCCTTACGCATGAATGTTTCCCTTACGGAAGAATGCCTAGAATGCAGCCACCTGTGCATGGCAGAGGCCCAGTTGTCAGCCAGTCAGCATGCAGTTAGTCGGAGTTAGGTAATATGATTGGTCAATGCGCAATCAGCTTCCTCTGTAAACACTATATAGCCAAAGATGGAAAATATGTTTTCCTATAGAAAGCATTTTTAATTTTTTCCTACTTGTTCTTTTTCTATAATCATGTTAAGCATGAAAACTCACAAACCGTAGCAAAATACTAAGTTGAGGAAAGTAATTTGTTCCCTTTGAGTTCAACCCAATTATACAGACTATAAAAGTAACAACAGACGGATCTTAAACCAGAATCCCACAACCCATAAACCAGTAAAACGCCTTTTGGGCGAAGAACGAGCGAGCGAGATAGTGAGCCCTGCACGTGCAGAAGGGCGAGAGGGTACTTCCAACGGGCTTGTGCAAAGCACCCTTCTAACCGGTCGCTAGCGGTGTACCAAATTTGAACACAATCGGCCCAGCCGTTCCTGAGATCTGGAAGCGGCATTCTGCACGTGCGCACGTGCAAACGGGGTCCAAAATGACTTTTGCACGGCACCCTACTAACCGGTACCCAACCGTGTACCAAATTTGAGCGCAATCGACCCAGCCGTTCTCGAGATCTGGAAACGCCCCCTGCACGTGCGCACGTGCAGTAGCACCCTAACCGCAACACATGGGAATGCATTGCCTGGTGGGTGCCTACCTGTATGCCAAGTTGTAGCGAAATCGCCCCAGTAATTACCGAGTTACTGAAATGGGAACAAATTTGGCACCTCTTATTGTTGTATTTTGCACGTGCACTGGGGGTGACCCACATGCATCGAGAGTATCCTATTTTGGGTAGAAGGGATGCTGCTACCCTACAAAAATTACCGCAAGTCAATCGCCCAAGCGGCTGCTGAGATATGAGCCCCTCAAAATCACTACTTTTGCAAAACAGCTTGAACACCCTTGACTTTTCACGTGGCACGTGCCACGACGGTCACTGAGATACATATCAAAAGTAGTCAATTACGGGGTAGAAGGGATGGGGCTATCAAACAAAAAAGACCGCAGGCCAATCGGTCCAGCGGTTGCTGAGATATAAGCCTCTCAAAAGCGTTACAGGCCGGGCCGGGCCGCTCATACTGAGATTTTTCCGTTATATTGAAAAGACTCACTTCGCTCGCTGCGCTCGCTCGCTCGTAACCAGCGTTCATTGTCGACCACCGATACCAGCGCACCTGTCCCTGCTGTCTATTCCGTCTCGCCACCCTCACCTCGGCCGCTGCTGGTCTCCGGTCAGGTCGGGTCTGGTCTGGTCGGGTCTGGTCGGGTCGGGTCGGGTCTGGTCAGCCGGGACTGCCGGTGGCACCTCCGAGCGGTGGCAGCCCCCGCCTCTGACTGCCCGGATCGGGCCGCCGCACGTCCGTCTGTCCGTCGGCCTGGGTCGCCGCGGGGGCGGACCAGATCCTCGGATCGGACGGCCAAATCGGCGCCGTGTGGCTCGCACAGCGGTGGTCGGCGCACCCCCCACCCCCATTTCACCGGCCCACTCCAAACCAAATCCACATGAAGCACCAGCGTCTTATCATGCGAGGTAGTGAGAGAAACTGTAGAGTGTAAATATTTGTTAATTGTGATGTAAAATCCAAATAGAAAGGGAAATATGGCATGGTAATGAGACTATCATAAGCTGCATTGTTTCACAAGACTTTATATTCTTGTCTAGCATGCTTAGCCAGTGTAAATATTAAACCTCTCGCCCTCTAGACTGCCTGTTTTATTTCCTCACAGCCACTTACCTAAAAATCAGTTTTATGTGATGCATTTAGCGCAGCGGTAGCGAACATATAGCCTAGCAGTAAGCAGTCAGTGTAAGTCAAACCAGGTAGCACTCAATTTAGGCAGCTTAGTAGTTGTAAGAAGTTTAAATAAAAAGCATTTCACAAACAGCTGCCACGCCCACTTCCCACTTCCTGCAGTTACCCTGCTGGAAGTAGCCGTATCCGTTCTACTGGCAGTGTAGGCTGTACCGCAGTACACCGCTGTTCGGCGGTGCAGTCTACCACGTCACGGCCAGACGTCCGACCGGCAGCATTGCTTGAGATGAGGTCTGACTTCAGGCGGCTCATATGTAGACACTAAATGCACTGAGCCAGAGGCGGTTACACACAAATCTCGACCCACCTACGTAAGCCTGTTGATGTCTTGCTCTCATTAGTGGATGTTAAAACCAGGGATGCGGAGCCGGAGCCGGAGCCGGAGCCGGAGCCGCCGGAGCCGGCATATTTTGCCCGGAGCCGGAGCCGGAGCCGTGAAACAATATAACCCGGAGCCGGAGCCGGAGCCGGAGCCGTCAAAAAGGGGGGCGACTCCGGCTCCTTTTCTTACGAGGAAACAATTATTTACCTAGTTCGGTTTGACAGTACAAGGCGTAAAACAATGTGGTATTCAAAATAGCCTTGTTATACAAATACAGAAGCAACGTGTACCAATCCCATCGCCTTTTTTCTTCCACCCGCATTTAATTGATCGCATAGTGGATGTACTGAGTATAAGCCGGAGCCGGAGCCGCCGGAGCCGGAGCCGCCGGAGCCGGATCATTTTACTCGGAGCCGGAGCCGGAGCCGGAGCCGCCATGACATTTCACCCGGAGCCGGAGCCGATTTTTTTCTCCAGAGCCGGAGCCGGAGCCGGAGCCGTCTGAAATTTCTACGGCTCCGCATCCCTGGTTAAAACCAATAAGAAAATTGCAAGCATTTAGAAAAAGAGACAAAAACGCATTAACAGCCGTAGATTCATAATAAACTCAGCATCTCTTACGTAAACAAATAGCAGTGACCAGTATCGACATGTGCATGAATGGACCTGGCAAGTCAAACATCATCAGGTCATGTACGGTCGGCGACGTGTAGCGGCAGCTCCTAAAATAGACCACGCCGGCGTAGGCTGGTGACGTCAGCAGCATCCGGACCGTGTCTGGCTGCATGACTCCCGCAAATACCGCTTATTTCTACCTGTGAAAGGCGTGAACACACATCGTGTCAGGGAGTCTGTAGCTATTTTGTACCGACAACGCGCATGAGTTGCTCAAACATGTGTTTAAATTTATATGTGCGAAGTGCTGAACTGATTCTTTGCTTAAGAAATTTTGCTTTGAATAACTGTATTTAAAACATTTCTATAGAGTAGAGCACTAACACATCGATCCATAACACATTGATCGATAATTCAAAACAACCATCGATATTATTAAATAATCATTGATGGTGCCCTATATCATGGTTTGATTTTACTCTGAAATAAAGACATGCATAAATTCAAAACAAATACATGCAGTTGTATATGGATGAGATAATGCATCGTAAAATCGCCTTTCCATCGTTTTGAAAGTTTTAAATCTTCTCCCCCTCCCCAAAAAAAAAAAAACACTCCACAATTACACTTGCATTGACAATAAAAAATGTGCGTTCACAGTTCACACCGTTCATTCCGCAGAATGTTGTGACTGAAATACTCCTACGAGGACCAGTGCCAGTTTTACCCTGCAGTGTGCCGTCAGATGAGTCTGACTGAAATGACGACACCCTCGGGTACGGCGTGGGCTGACCGTGCCCCCCCCCCTCCCCGAGTGCAGACTGGCCTCGCTGAGAGCCGCGGTGACCGGCCCGACACCGTCTGTCGCCGGGGGCTCCTCAGAGTGATGTGACCACCGGCGCTGACCGGATGTGGTGGCACCGACGGCCAGTCGCTCCTCTCCATCGGGAGTCATCATCGGGCCGCCGCTCCGGACCGGCCCGGCCGCGTAACATGTGCGCCACTCCCGCTCAGGAAATGGGCGCATTTGTTCGTGTCAGCGAGCTGCGACTCGCAGGCCGGGAAGAATCCTTACAGCTCATTTGTTTTGATTGTAGTACAAGTCCAAATTTCATTTAAGAAAATTAGACATAAACGTTATTTTATAGAGAGTGAATGTGTGAACAGTGCCATGCATTCTCGGCCTTGACAGAATGCCGTCAGGACGATTGTAATAAATTTCCCTTTCAGTGGATGACTATTTCAAGCATGCTTCAGCATTGTGTGAACTGAATTTTTTATTATTCCAGCACGGAATAATGGAAACGCTTGCAATAAGTCACACTTCATGGCGTGACTTCAGGGCCCCAATTAAACCCATTTTGTTCCTATGGCCGCCATTATTTCATCGTTAACTCGTTAAACGCACTTCCATCAGATAAGTCATTTGAGTGTATATATGCAGCTTGACACACCATGTAACAGCCAAAAACGAAACGGAAGGTTAGTAGTATCTTAGTGCACGATTGCATGAATATTAAATATCATGGCGCATCTACTGTAACAACTTCATACTCATTCACATGCATCATACATACTTATTTCATTGAATGTAACGTTGCAAATGGCTGGTATTCCTGAGTTATTTTTCCAAACAATTAACTTTATTCCCACTTCTCTTAGGATCGGTAAACAAGGATTTCTTTTAACACGCGCACCGACGGGGTTCTGCGCCAACTTAGTACCGACGGGGGGGGGGGGCGGATGACCGACCCCCCCCCCCCCTGAGATCTCGAGAACGAAGCAAGATAGCGACAAGCGGTAAACGGCATCGGATACGCACGGACAAGGTCTACAATTTTTACTAAGGTCATTTTCAGGTCAGGTCAAAGATGACGTCACAGGGGTAAAAAAGTCAAAATGACGGCGCTACATAGATATGGAGAGAGTTTTTCTCGAATAACTTTCGAACTAGTCAAGATAGGAACAAACTAAGGGCATCATCGTGATCCTCCGTCAATCCGCATCGAATGATATGTATGTTGACCTCGAAAGGTCAAGGTCAAAGGTTGACCTCAGGTCACGTGACCTCGAGGTCATCATGTATATCATTCGATGCGCCTTGACGAGCTGAATACAATGAGACCATCCACGCGGCTGTAGCTTGTTCCTGTACGGAGTTATTGGCAAAAAACCTTTGGTGACCTTTGATGACGTCACATGACCTCACAGCTGCCCAACAGCAAAACAGACCTCAAGGTAGTGAAGGTTGATCGTATATGAAGTCATGTATGGTATATGGGGCCATTCCGACCCGTTTTAGTGGTAAAAACAGGGAGTTGATTTTTCCCCCATTGACTTATAAAGGGGAGGTCGAGAAATTGACCTGACCTTAGGTCAACGATATCAAAATTCCAAGATATACAAATTGTAGCTACTAATGACCTTATGACATCCTGCGACTTTCAAAGGCCTTCGACGTCTACTGTAGCTCTGGCACGGTGACAAAGTTGCAAAAAATTGACTTGAGGTTGGGTCATTCAAAGTGACCTGGTGACCTGACCTTAAAAGTAAGGAGGTTCAAACTTGCACACCATGTGTAAAATTAATGAAAGAATAGTCATACCAAATTTCGCGGCGCTATGCGCCGCGGTTTTCCCGCTAATCGCGAAAAACTTCAGGGAGGCGGATATCGGCCCCCCCCCCCCGTCGGTGCGCGTGTTAAAATAATCTAAAAGCAGTTGGCAGTTGTCCTTTTTTCGATGTTCATTATCCTTGTTTTCTTTTTGGCGTTGTTTCTTTTTATCATATTTAGTCAGACACCCTTCTCTACCTACGTCATCGTTCTGTTTTTTTTTTTTTAGGACAATACTGTTTTGCGGGAGCAATACCTAAGTCAATAACAAGCATGCATATATCCAGCACAATGCACACAATTACATTGTATAAGCCATGAAATTATTATGATAATTTCTGGGACCACTTTTACTATTCTGCAGACAATGAATCAGCAATTTCTTTATTATGATAGCACATTCACAGACCAATGTTAAAGGTAGTGTGCCAGCTTTCTTGGACCGTATGGAGTTAATGGCCCAGATAAGGAGAACCGGATTTTTAGAACTTATCCATACCTTCAAAACTCATGGAAACGTCTTAAATTCTTCAAATTTTGAGTACCCCAGTGCGAAATTCGCCCCGACGGGTTGTCGGTCGTACCCCAACCACATTTCACACCACTATGAACAATAAATGCACACACTGAAATCGCTATTACCGATATGCTCATCCAATCAAGTTTCGATAAACCCGTTCATCATCATCTCCTGCGGTTTCGAACACGCCTGTTAGGTGGCTTCTGATGCTCGTCGAGGTCGGAATTTCCAAATACGCGTGGTGCGTCGGGCCGCGCGCTCTGACTTCGGCCAAGAAAAATGCGTCAGCTGATCATTGTCATTTCTGCCACTTGCGTGTGGTGAAATGGGGTCATAACTTATAAGATGGCTTTTTCATATCAATTATTTTACATAAAATCATATTTCAAACCATAAATAATGTTCGACAGCCAAATAAAAGAAACAATACCAATACGGGCTTACAGTTTAAGGCT